ATAATAGTTTTCAACTTCTCACTCTTAGCAACAAGGCTCTTGCAGAGTAGAGATTTTCTGTGCCAGCAACCCTGAATCTACAGCAGCACAAAGGTCAGATTAATACAGTTTCTCCTCACTTCATCCCACCTCCACTTTGAAAAATAGCTGTACCTTACAAATTCCCCTTCTTGCCTCCACTGCTAGAAGGACTTGATGCCTTCATCTCTGCTAGCTGCTGCTCCTTCCTGCTGCTAACTTAATGCAGCTGGCAAAGCAGTGGGGAAAGGTAATCCTATGAAACACACATGTAGTGGTTTCAAGACAAATCACAGGTTATCACCTGTGATTGTTGTTATGTTAAGATGCCTATTCTTCAACTGCAAAATATGTACTGTTATTCTAAAATTGGATTGTAGCTGAAGGCATGACAGAATAACTGAATTGCCTCTCCCTTACCTAGCTAGAGCTCTCACCTTCAATTTTAGCTTAGCTACTTGCACCAGCTACATTCTGATAATGACTTGCTTCCACAGCCTCTGGGCAACCACAAATTGAGCCTGATGTGCAAATCCTGACTGTTCATATTGAGTTGCTGGAATGCTTTTTACAAATCAACAGCATCCGGAATACATCCATTTTCCCCCTGGTGAATTTCCACTGAGGTCTTTTCACCACAGCAAACTGGAGCAGCTGGCCTTGTCACCTGTATCAGCTGGAAGAGTGACCTGGGGAGGTTACTTGGCTGCTGAACCACTGGTCTGCCTTCCTTTGAGTTTAACCTTTGTATCTGTGAAGACTCATGAGTCGTGAGCTTGCTAACATGAAGGTAGCTCCTCTCTGCCTTGCCTTCCTCTCTGTCCTTGGGCAGCTCCATTTCTTTGTTATTAATTGGCTCAAACAAGATTTCCCCAGACACTTGGGCAGTTGTAGCATCAGCCAGTAATCCCCTAATTCCCTTGGACACCCGGGAGTCCCTTGTGTGCTACTCTACAACTGCATTTTGCAAGTGTTGCACTTCTCCATGATACACCAAATCGATGCTATGTGGTGATCAAAGACGTCCTTGTCCTCAGAGCAAATTCCAGCACATTTCTGGTACTTTGCACAGGATACCAGAAATTGTAGCTGAAATTCTTAAGATTTCACCATCTAAAGCAAAAAGCCCTTGGAAATTAAACTCGTTTTCTCATGGGTGGATGACAGGCTTTAATATTTTGCTGAAATAATCAGCACAAATCTTGTCCTGAAAGGTTAACGGGTTCACCTAGACTCTCACAAGAGGCACAGCAGCTATCACTGGTATTGGGGCTTTCTAATGTCACACTAGGAATTTGTACAATCACAACTAATTACTTGTAGTTAAATGAGAAAAATTTCTGGTTCTAACAACCCTGCCAGTGTTCTGGGAAGCAAAGACTTTACCCCTACTTTTTCACTTAAGAAATCTGTCAGCTGGGAGTTGCCAGACAACTTATTTGAGAGGCTGGAACCAGATGATCTTTAAGGTCCCTACCAACACAAACCACTCTGTGGTTTTATGATTCTATCCTTTTTTACTGCCTTTTCAAGTGTGATGTTGGTCTGTATTAGACAGTAGTGACTTCACTGAGGTTCACATAGCTACCAAGTAAAATCATAAATCAGAAGTTCAGAGAAACCAGATCTGAGAAGATACTTGTTAAAATGTCAACCAAAGGGGCTGGTGATCTAAGTGCAAAAGCTTCCCTGAGAACCATGTCAGGCATAAAATAAAATGTGCAAGGTAGAGTTGTACCATCACCTGTCAGCATCCTGGCACCGTATCTTACATGGCATTCTGAGCTGATGTTGATAACATTATTGAGTTCTTTATTCCTAGCATGGTGGTGAATATCTAGAGGGCACAAACCCCCATGTTTTATTCACAATTTTTATTTCACAAAATATTGCATGTTTTCTTCACAATTTTGGGTGCTATTAGTGTTTTCAATATTTACCTTCTTGGAGAGGACCAGCAAGATCTGCCAAAAGACCTTTGAAACCTCACAGTTCTCCTAGGGGCCCCAATAAATAATGTCCACATTAAATAAATAATTTATTTGGTGCAAACCAAATTAACCACAAAGGTCCACGTTTATACAATTTGAGGGATCATTTCCAAAAAGACTGAGTGTGGGTCCTGCTTCAGAAGAGTAAAAGGCATGCAAGTATCCCTGTCTGTGGATGTGGATTCCAGGCTCCTTCGTGTGGCAGGAGGACACCAGCTTCTCTCTGGGTCCTGGTCACTCCGGAGCCCAGCACGCAGGGGTCACCTTCCCCCGGCAGGCTGCAGATCACCCGCATTTAAAGGGGAGATCCTGGTTTACAAGCAGCTTTCCGACCCTGGAGAGTACATTTTCATTGTAACAAGCTCGCAGATCACTAGATGGCCTCGTAACCTCAGAGATTTGGGCAGACCCTGGCTTGGGCTCAGGAATCGCCTGCTTTAAGCCCCTGGCGCCCCAAGTGCTGCAGAATCATGACCTCGGGCAACGCACAAGAGCCTTTCAAAAACGCAGAGCGAGAAATTTGATACACTTTGTCCCACCGGGAAGGTAGAGAACCTTTAGAAGCTGCTTGTATTCCCTAAATCCCAGCAAATGGGATTGGAGATGGAGCAGAGACTAGGTGGGAGCTGTTGAGAGTCGCAGGGGTCTCAGAGGGAAGGGAGGTGAGCCCGTTTGGGGAGATCTCTGTGAACCTCAGAAACTGGGGAATTGGAGGGGATGCAGGTGGGTTTGGTTCCTTGTCCCGCACCAATGAGTCCCAGTCACCGCCACGTGAAAACGTGGCCACTTAGAGGCCTCGGAGGAAACACCAGCGTTTGTAGGTGTAGGCGCGTCCTACCTGCCACCGAGCTGTGCCCTCCTGAGGGACAGCAACAACACGGGAAGCCCCCTCTCTCCTGTCCACAGCGGGGAGGGTCTGGGGAGAGAAGCGAAGGGATCTTTCGAGCGGTAGAAACAGGAACGGGACGGACGGAGCAGGCGGGACGGGCACGGCAGAGGAGCGGGCAGAGGTCCCGCTCGCCCGAGGGGCAGAGCCGGCCCTGGGCGCTGCCTGCGGTAGATGCTGCTGTCCCCGAGAGGCTGGAGAGCTTTCCCTGGGCCACACCGGATTGACAGCGCCCTTGATCTGATGCGTGAAGGGGAAAAAAACCCCCTCATTTCCCCTGCCGTTCGGCTGGGACGTGTGTTATCGCTCCTTTTCCCGCGCGGATTTTTATCAACGTTTTTAAACACAGGGCTACTTCGCATTGACGCACGTCTTTCAGAAAAGCCTTTCGAACGCATTAGCAGCGGAGCAAGCTCACGGCACCGAGCAGGGCTCCGGACTCGGAGCGGGGCAGGCGCTGCAGGACGGGAAAGCGAAGCGGCCCGAGCACAGCGCAGGCCGCGGCGGCGGGGCCGGTGCTGCGGGCGCTCCGGCGCTGCCGCTTTAAGGGCGGGCGGGCCGCTGCGGCCGGGCCGGGCAGCGGGCCCTGCTGTCCCCTTCCCCGGCCGGGAGCTGCCCGTGCCCCCGAGGCCTGCGGCCGCTTTGCCGGGCGAGCGGCGAGGGCGGCGCGGAGCGCTCGGCCCGCGGCGCGGGCGGCGTTTGCCTCCCTCGCAGGAGCGGGCGTGGGTAGGACTGGCATCCCCCGAGGGGAAGGTGGGCCGGGGTGGTTGGGCTTTGGACGGCTCTTGCTGCCAACAAAAAAAAAAAAAAAAAAAAAAAAAAAAAAAAAAAAAAAAAAAAAAAAAAAAAAAACTTAAAATGGATAAAATTTTAGGGTTTTAAAAAAAAGCATAAATTGCATACAATTTAGGGTTTGGTTTTTTTTTTTTTTTTTTTTTTTTTTTTTTTTTTTTTTTTTTTTTTTTTTTTTGGCGGGGTGGAGGTGAGGTTTTTCTTATGTGTTTTGCTTGGTTATGTCTTCCAGTCCAAGTTCTATTTGCCCACTGATTTATAGTAAGATGGGCAGGCCAGTAGTGTCAAATGCAGGGATATCCACCCTGATTTATTCCGTGTAAGATGGACGGGCCAGTAGTGGCAAACACAGGGATATCCATCCTGTTATCCATCCTGATTTTATTCCCTGTAAGATGGATGGGCCAGGAGTGTCAAACACAGGGATATCCATCCTGTTATCCATCCTGATTTTATTCCCTGTAAAATGCATGGGCTGGGAGTATCAAACATAGGGATGTCCATCCTGATGCCTTCCCTCACTAAGCATTTAAGCTCAGTTTGGCATCTTGAGTGCTGAGCTCTTGGCAGGTTTCTGTACCGACGATTAATTTCAGGAGACTAACCATTGTGACAGGCCATGCAAAATAAACACTACAGGATCTCAGCCCTGCTAATTTGCAGCACTTCATGGAGAAAAGCCGGCATACAGCATTTGCTGACAAGATTTATCTCTCCAATTGATTGCAGTTAACATCATGCTTCCCTTAGGCAGATGAGGATTATGGAGCTCTGCCTTGAAGAAAGAAGGCATTTGCTAATTACACTCATTAATTACATGGACTCTGCTGACTGGCACTCTCCAGTGTAGAAAAATGCGAAATGTTTGATCATGTGTATTTATTTGTAATAGAAACATAAAGCCTTTAGCCAATGATTTAAACAATGATTTAGTGGGAGTATCAGCCTAAAAAGAAAAGTGTAAAGTTCACAGCTTAAGTGATGAAACTAAAGTCAGTACTTAAAGCAGAGGCCAGCACACAACAGAAATACAGTTAAACACATATGAATGTTATTCTAAAGATACAGACAAATAAAGAAAAACTGATCTAATTAACTACAAAGTGTTAAGACTGTTTCACTGACATATTCTTCCTGTTGTCCCTTTGTCTAGTTTTAAGGACAACCTGCACAGCTTGAAGTTGTCCGTGATTCTTTTGTTGTGAAAAATTGTCGGGGCTGGGATGAAAGTTGTTTTTCTTCATGCATTATTCTGCTGGTTTGTGAAAACCACTGCAGAAGACAGAAAACAATTACAAAACAACAAGTCCAGTTTCTTGTTTGTTTGTACTTGCAGTCTTGCAGTTGTGGAAGCACAGGCCCGAAATGCTTCTCTGGTCATCAGTTTCAGGGGAGGTTCAAAAGCCATGCCCTGAAGCAAGGAAGTCCGAGTTATTGAAAAGAAATTAGAGAGCAAGGTGAGGAAGGAAAAAGGATATGGAAATACTAATGGATGGGTGAAGGAGATCTAAGCAGGGAGGCTGGAAAACATTTCCTCTCCCTTCAGGCCACTACTTGCTGAGTGTACTGACAGGATAAGCACAGGAAAGGCCCAGGGTCTGCAAGAGAAGGCAGGTGAGGAAAGTTTCTTAATAAAGTGCTGAGAGGCTCTTCCTTTGCCTCTCAGTGCAGTACTGTGGCTCTCCACTCTCCATGCTCTTGATTCTTAAATGAATCTAAACTCTGACATACCAATCTTTCATTCTTCTTCACCGCCTGTGTGAAGTGTACTACACACCTTGAGTGGCGTGACAAGGCCATCCAGTCTGAATGTATCACCCTCTAGAAACTTAATTTAAATGTGTTAGATTCAGTTTCTCTCTTCAGACGTCTTGGAGCGTGTTTATATAGTATCTCAGAGTGGGCTACAGGGATGGAGATCTGCTTTCTTCTACAACTGACAGCATCCACATGAGACTGTTGCACCATAAGACTAATCAATCCTTTAAAATACAGGCTGAAATGCAATGAATTAGGGCTACTCTGGTTAAGATGAGTTTTGTGTTTTTTTTCTGTTTTTGTCAATTTTGGAGCTGGCAGATTTATCAATCTTAGGGAGAGAGAGGAATTCTTTTAATTGCTTGCCTTTAAAAAATGCTTTTGTATAAAGATGCATCACCATTATAAAACTGGTAATTAATGGTGTCTCTTCAAACAACCTACTGTTAACCACTGCTATGTCCACTGCAATGCCAGAGTCTTTCTGAAAAATCTGAAGATTCAGTGGAAGAACCCTAAATGGGAGTAGATTGCTACATGTATATCTTCAGGACAGAGAGAGAGAGATGTTAAAAGGTTGCACATTCAATTTTTAGCTCTATCAGCTGTGCCACTAACTGGTGGTTTCTCACTGGATGAGTTCAGAGTCCTCTTCTGAATGAGTCTCTTAATAGCTTCTTCCTTGAATGCCACTTATTTCAGACTTAAGACTGGGCAGGGGTAAGGCACAAGAGCACAGGGATCGCCTCTTCCTAAAGTCCCTGGTGGTGCAAAGCCTTGAAGTCATTGAAGAAACATCGTTTACATAGCATTTTTCTCCTTTCAGGAATTGTCATCCATCACTATGAAAAACAACATCCTGTGAGTTAGTTTGAAGCTTTGTGCCTCATCACTTTCTTCGGATAAGCTGTGCTCCAAGCACTCCTGAGGAAAGCTGGTGTCCTTGGGGAAGCATGGCCTTGCGTGGTTGGAAGTGGCTCCTCCTCTTGGGCAGGCAGAACACCCTTGCCAGGGTGTGGAGAAACAGGAGGGGTGGCCCCTCTTTGTGCTGGCAGCGCTGCTGCCACTGGAGCGCAGGCAAGTCTCTGGACCCCGAGGTGAGAGCGTTTTTGGAGGAGAACACCGAGGTCACCAACAGCGGGCACCTCACGCCAGAGATCCGGCTGCGCCTCCTCACCCCCCGCTGCAGGTTCTGGAGAGAAAAACCTGACCTGTGGCCTTATGGGGACCCGTTCTGGGCAATTTACTGGCCAGGAGGCCAAGCCCTCTCCAGGTATGCAGCAAAATTCACCACAGCTGAAAAGTCCAGTGTGCCAGGATGTCAGACCTGGCTCTGTTTGTAGCAATTCCTAGTGATGTGTGTTTGCCTATTATGGGTGCATTATCCATCCTCCTCTCTGCTTATACTGGAGTGTCCCAGTCTCTGCTGGCTGGCAGCAAGTTCCAGCACCTGTTGTGTAAAATAACTTGTGTCTTTTAAATAGAAATTTGTTATAATCAGTGGCCATACATGTGCTGACAACAGGGCTGAATTTGGATCTATGGAAGTGCTGTGCAGATGCCATCAAAACCCAGTGAGGTGTTTAATTCTATGACTCCAAACAAGAGGATTGCTATTTCGACATAATGTATATGGGTTTTTTGTTGGAGACAGTCAGGAGTGTGGATGTACCTCTGGTCTGTTGAGAAAAGTAGTTTAATGCTGATGCACTTGGAGTGTTGATTAGCCTGAATAACTCTCCTCATCTAGGATTCAGCAGCCTTATTGTCTGTGACTTTTTGTGGCTTTTAGTCACATCAGAAGGCACATTCTGATTTTGGCTGCTGACTGTCAAAAAGTCTTTAAATGTTCCTGATTCAGAAGAACTAGAGTTCTTTTATTTTGTGAAATCAAATCTCTCATTTAAACAGCAGAAAAAAAAATCTTAATTTTTACAGCAGAGAACAAGCTGTCAGAGATTCCCCACATAGATGAAAGGGAAGAATCTGAATTGGGGCGTTAACTGTTTTTCTGCAAGAAAGCATAAATAAGAAGGCAGTTTTGACCAGGTAAAAGATGAGTCTTACTGTTGATTATGTCATGTAGATGAACTAGAGTGCTCCTAAACATGGGATATATAAAATAGATTAGTTAATCTCTTAATTTTCTTATCGTATTATTTATATGCTCAGATATTTGGGTAGCAATAATAATTATCTGGCATTTCACTACTTTATTATCTTACTGTTTATGCACTGGTTTGATGTATTAAATAATGTCAGAAATCAGTTGCATAATTTGGAAGAGTAAAAAGGGAGCACAAAAACATATGGTTACCTCCATAACTGTCCTCCTGTCACAGCTGGCGTTTCCACAGCATCAGGAATCTCCTATTTCGAGCTACTCTTGGTGTAATCCAAGATTCCTCATTGACCCAGGAGGGCAGAGACACTGTGTGCACTGTGCCAGGGGATACAGCAGCATCCAGCTGTCCTGAGCTGTCACCACAACCAGCAGCAGCAACTCAGTAACCACTCAGCTGGAAACAAGGCACTTGCAGCCTCAGGGCCACATCACCCCCTACACAAATTGCTAATGGAAAATCATGGCAAATCCCAGTGGGGCTCCTAGAAAGGAGAAACACAGCACTTCTGTGGAGATCCCACGCCTGTCCTTGGTCCTGGTGGTAAACTAGGGGCTGTACTTAGGGGAGTGATGGCCTTAGGGGAATGCTGTTAAACATCTGAGATGCTGAGCCTCAACACAAATGTCCTGCACTTGACAAGCTTACTAGACCTCTTGGTGCCATTCCTGCTGGTGCTTCCAGGCCCGGACATTTCCATCCATCCATTCCCAATGTACACCAGTCTTAATATTTCTGTGACAGTCATCTGCACTGGAGTCCCCCTGCAAAAGCTGTGCTTACCTCTAGCCCTCTGTGCAGAGTCAGCCATCACTCTCCCTGTCACAGAAGATAACACAAATGTAGAATCCTTTCTTATTTCTACTTCAAAAGAAGTTACGGAAAATGGTAGTAAAATTATGGCAGTTTGCAGTAATTCATTTCACCCAGGGCTCTTCTCCCTGACACCTGGGGCTTTCCCCTTTGCAGCAAATTGAATTTCAAGGCAGTTGTTAAAGTTTTGAACCCTCTGCAATAGTTATAATATGATTCATAGTATTTAACAATAACTGCTACTTGCCTTCTGTCAATTCTCCACTTCCAGCCTAAAGGTTTTTCAGGATATCTCTTGGCAGGTGTCAGCAATTAGATGAAGATACCCTTTCTGCTCACCACAGCTCTATTCTTTTTCTCACTGCTACTCAGGAACAACACTAAGCAGTCTCAAAGTATTTGCATCTCTATCTGCATGGCTCAGGAAAAGAAAGAGGAGAGAGAAATTCCTCTTCTTCCAAGCAGTTGCATAAGCAGTACTTCAGATTGGTGGGTGGGCACTATATTCACTGTGAACATATCATGTTTTTCAGTCAGATTGCTTTTAATTTCTACAAATCCTTACTTCACTATTTCTCATGCATTCTGACAAATTCTCGTTATCTAGAAGTGTCTACTTAACAGTTTGTGTCCACTTAACAGATAAGCTCACCTGTCAGAGAAGGAGCTGATTGACATAAAATGTTGCTTACTTGGCTGAATTTCTTTTTGTTTGTGGGTGGGGGAGGACACTAAGGGAGAAAAATTATGGTTCTTGATTTTTATATCATCTGAGACAAATAAGGAGTTTTGTGGCAGCTGCACATGTGGAACAGTGTTAAGGCACCACTCTTCATTATATGTTTGGCAAGAAACTCTTATGCAGTGTACTGTAAACCTGAGAAATTTGATCTTGTTCACTGCTTTAACAGCTTTTCTTTTTCAGGTATATTTTAGATAATCCACGTGTGGTTAAAGGGCGATCAGTTCTGGATCTTGGAAGTGGATGTGGAGCAACAGCAATAGCTGCTGTGATGAGTGGTGCATCCCAAGTCCTTGCCAATGACATTGACCCTAGTAAGGCTTTTTTCCATCTCTGTGTAAAGATACTTACTAATTTTTAAAGCACCTTTAACATGGACTTTTCTTTGCTCCATTTGGGAGAAATTCAAGTTCCAAACAGAATCCTAAGAATGCTAAAAAGAGGAATAGGTTTTGCCAGTACTGGAAGCTGGGTTGTACCAGCCTCTCTTGGCCCAGGTATATCTCCATAGCTCCTTAAAACAAACAGCAAACTTTCTGTCAAGTGTTGCCCATACACCACCACAGCTGGTTTGGATGAGAACTCCAAGCACAAGCAGCAAGTTGGCTTCTCTGTAGGACCACAGCATTTTCCTGTACTTTCAGGTACATCAGGGCCTAGATTTTGCCTTTTTCCTCTAGGCTTTGTCTTTCCATAATTGACTTATGAATACAGTTTATATTAATAAATATAAATAAATATTATACAATATATATTAATAAATTAATTACTCATTAGTTAGGAAGGAAGTATATCCGTAGATTAAGGCAGTTATTATATTCTACTTCAATTCCATGATTGGTTTCCAATGGTATCCGTTCTAGGAAAACTTCTTCCCTGTGTCATGGTGTAACGAGAACAAAATTTCATCACTTCACGCTAGATTTTGACTCATAATAAAAACTGTGGAAGCCCCCTAGATAGGATGAACAACATTTAAGAGATGAAATTGAAAGATTTCATCACAGAAATATGCAAGAGGGCTGAATGGCAGAATCCTAAAATGTAACTTTAATTTTCCTTTGACTTTTCTTCAGTTGCAGGAATGGCAATGATCTTGAACTGTGAACTGAACCACCTGAATCCCTTTCCCATCACCATTAAGAACATCATTAATTCAGAGGCTGGCAACTGGGACCTCATAGTTCTAGGAGATATGTTTTATGATGAACAACTTGCTGATGGTCTGCATCACTGGTTGCAGAAGTGCATCAGGATTCACCAGACTGAAGTGCTGATTGGTGACCCTGGCAGGCATCAGTTTTTAAGCCACAGCATTCACAGTCAGCTGCACAAAGTTATAGAATATTCACTGCCTGAGTCTACGAGACAAGAAAACTACGGGCTAACATCAAGCATTGTCTGGAGTTATCAGCCCTCAAACAGCTTAGATGATTCTTGAAGCTGTCTTTCTATGGGATTCTGTCTTTCTTGATTGGCTTTTTGCAGGTATATAACATGAAAATGGGAATTAAACAGGGAACATTATCTGTTAAAGTAAAGCAGCTTACTGTACCTTCACTGGACTGATTTCAGTCATACTCAACTGAGGCTTTTGCTCAATTTGATGTAAAAGCTACATGCAAACTGTATTCAAAGGGGCCTGCACTGAAGTGCACATCTACAGACAACTTACATGTAGGAGTTTGCATGCTTGATGTTTCCCATGTGTATTTGTGTCTTGCTGACATTACTGTGAAATATTTTGGATGTCCAGCATGCTGCTGTGGGGAGAGGGTTGTGACTGAAGGACTACTGCATTGTTTCCACAGGCTTCTGCAGCTTATTTATAGAAAATTTGTAAATACAGAAAATTATTGCTGTCCTCCATAAAATTCTCCACTAGATTTTTAGCTCATAATATGCTCAACTTGAAGTGCCTTGCTCTTTTTCTGGTTATCTCTTCTGAATGTTAAAGTAATTAATTTAAATCTCCCCCTTTCCCTCTGTAATGAAAATTTCCTCTTCCTTGAAACTGACAGAGTGATTATGTAGGAGTTGTGCCCAAATCTAAACTCTGCTTCTTGACTGCCAGCCAGTGTAAAAGCTTTAATAAATGGAAAATTAATAAACAGTACCAGCTACCGGGTAACTTCATTCCCTTGAGAGTAGGGTCAAATGATCTACAAATGATCTACATTACCCTTTGCAAGGGTAAACCAGGCAATCTGTCACCTTGGGAAACTGCTGAGGGATGAAGAAGTCTTTACTTCTGTGACAAACAGAGGGTAACGAAATAAAAACAGGTAATACAAGTCTGATATAATTATTTTGCTCTTCTCCTGACAAGATGCTGGACAAACTCCAGGATCATTCTCAGTTTTATCTGCCAACTAAGAACTAGCTTCATCTACCAAACATGGTAAAAAAAAAATCTGATCCTCAGGTAAGATGCTTGGAACTGTGGCCATTTGAAGAAGAAGCCAATCTTTTCAGAGCAGTATTACAGGAAGTGTCAACTTGAGCAGTCAATTATTGTACAAGTAGTGATGGGGAGCTGATAACTGCACCATAGACCACTGTGCAGTGATGCCAGGTGCTGTAGTGAAAGATTGCAAATGTGAAATAGTGTGTGGTACTCACTCAGAAAACCATGGTATTCATGAAGTAGGAGGTTTAGGACCACAGTCAGACGTACATGGTTCTCTAATCCAACAAGTTTTCAGAACTATCCAAACAAGCCAACTTCTAAACTTTAATCTTCATAACAATATGCCAATATTCTGCAAGGCTCACAACAATAACAATGTCCAAACAACAGAGAATATGAAGTGGCAAGCACATCCATGAGGTTCGTCTCCCACTTCACCCAGTGCCTGTAAACATTTGTTGAAAATTACTGTGAACCAAAAAACATTCCAGTAGTTATGCAAATATTAAAAACATAAGCTCTAACAGTGAAGGATTTAAAGTAACTTACATTAAACTTTCAAACCTAAAATTACAGCGTTACCTCGCTGCAGTGTTGTACAGCTTTTTAAGCACCAGGTAAGGATGTACCACTAAGTTACACATTGAAAAGAAGCTGTAGGGGAAGATGGTAAATCTACAGGCACACTTAAGGACACAGTACAAGCTGCATTTGCCTTCAACATGACAAATCCAAGGTTATATTAGCAAGGAGAAAAAGGACGACTTTGCCACTGAGGTTAGCAGTAGCATTGTTTCACAGAGCTGCCTAAACAGCTGTATGATTCAATATCAAAAATAGTGCAACACAGATTTACTGTCCAAGAGTTCAAAAGAATGATGGGCCCTGATTGATCCCAGGGGTTCCACAAGGCATAACAATAAACTACTCCTCAACAAAAAAACCAAAACAAAAAGAAACCAAAAAACCCCCAAACAAAAAAAAAAAAAAAAAACAAAAAAACCCCCCCCCAAAAAAAAAAAACCAAAAAACCCCCAAACAAACAAACAAAAAAAACCCAAAAACCCCCACACAAAAAAAATGCCACAAAAAAAACCCCAACCAAAAAAAAACACCAACAACAACAACAACAGAAAGAAATAAAATCAATGGTTTGCACTGGTGCAGTTACACCTACAGGGATCACAGGAAAATATTCATCACTGGGCGGAGCCATGCAACAAGGGTGTAAGGGATTTAGGTGCTGGTCTTGGAAAAATACACTTTTACTGACACCTGAACGATTTTTCTAAATAGTCTTGCACTTTCATAAACCATATAATCAACAGAAGAACAAATATTATTGTCAGACGTCATAATACCATTTAATATTGGCAACAAAAATTACCTTCCATGCAATTAGACCTGAACTTGAAATAGATTAATATAAGACTGGTTTATTTCTGCAATGCTTAGGTGTGGCTATGACAAGAGTTAAATGGTAAACATATTCCTTATGACTGCCACTCTTTAGGTTTCCAGACATCATCAAACCCATGTTAGACCACCATAGCTAAACCCTTCTACTTCCAGATCCAGAGAATAAACCCAGTGTGCTCCATTCCCTTATAAAGCTAAAATGGCTGGCATTAAGGAGCTTAATGCAGAAATCATAGAACTCTGACTAGAGGTTATGCTGGTTCAAGAAAGCCAAGGAACATGACTTATAATTGAGATGAGAGCACTGCTCCATTATGTAATAAACTCATGCTACAGTTCAAAAATTATTTTTTAATATTACTATAACTGAACAATAAATGAATTGATATTTTCAGCTGGATATGTAATGAACTGCATACAGCAGAACACATACTCTACCATCCTGAGATTTATGTGCTCACACACTACATTTGGTCCTATTTCATTCACAGATATGCTTATGAGTACCAGTGTTTTGTTCTCTAAAAGGATTTTCATGTAGAAACAAAGGCAAAAGCCAGGGCAAATATTTTATTTGCCCATGTATAAAATCCTGTTTTTGGTCACAGCTACTACTCTGAAATTTGTAAAGTCACCATAACAATTCCAAAGCAAGTTTATGTTTACACATTCACAGGCTCTACATTTGGATGTGTAAAAATCCAGCAAGTATTTGATGGTAAGTAAGAACAGAAACCTGCAGCATCAGTAACATCAGGAAAAAGGTACCTAAGTTTTTTATTCCAGACCTAGTAAAGTACATGGTGAAAGGAGATTCTTTGTTACTACTGAAAGTACCTTTGTATCACTGTTAATACCACCTCCATTCACCAGTTCTGACTGTTGACTTTTGTTAGATTCAACTCCCAACTTCACAGACACTGCTATGTGTCAATATTACATTTGAGCTGGGTACTTTTAATTTTAAGTACTACGCCAGAATACAAACTCAGAATACACGCTTACCTAAACTGGGTTTGTGGCTAAATTGCTAAAGGATACTAAGTAGCAGCCAAATCCAGCACTTCAGGAAGCCTGAGCAACGGCCCTAGATAGTTTAACTTTCCTCTTAATGAAGTATGATCAATGGAAACACAGACAGGGCTCCAAGGAAAGACAATAAGGAAGCCCAGGCTCACGGGCAAGGACTGGAATGGCAATGGAGACCTCCAGTGGGAAGCAGGAGGGATGCAGCCTGGTGGAACAAAAGTCACCAGGTAGTTCTCCAAGGTGCTTGTTTGCTGAAGGAGCTCTCCACCTGTAAACTTGACAGTCACATGAACAGGATAAATAATCAGTAAACAGTCCATGTTAGTTGCTTGATTTTGTTTGATATGATGAGTTGCTCTAAAGCATCTCGGGACCGATCTGAAAAAGAACAAAGGAATTTCTTGTTATTTATTCAGAATATAAAGGTGGTATTTGGAATAGGCACACAACACAGTAAAGGAATTCTATGTCTGCTATTATACTTCTTTTGCTATCACAATATCACACTTCAGATACATCTGTAGTAATCCAAACCCTCTTGGTTCTTTTTCCAATCACCTAACTGTAAAGCATCACCAACAAACAGAATTTTAAACACCCACAGGCTGTCCTACTCCATTCCACTGTTTCTTGAATAGATGCTATTCTACACTTTTGGAATATTAAGATGCTAATATTTTTCTGAAGTCTTTGGGTCTTCATCAGCAGGCTGAAGGGGAAAAAAATACAATTTCCAAACAAACAAAAAAAGTCCCCTCTCTGAAGCTTGCTGCCACATTTCAAAGCAAAACTCTCACCCTGCTTTGAAAATCTCAGTGTACGATGATTATTTTATCCAGTAAGTTATTCTTTGTTTGGGATTACTTATGGAGTACAGTGTGTTTTTCATAAAGCAAGAAGGTATGATTAACAAGTAATTATCTTCTTGTGATTAGATCTACCTGTTATCAGTGGGCATCCATGGAACAGAAAAATGTGTATCTTGGGACAACAAGTAAGGACGGCTTCCACAGCGACGTCGGTCAGATTAACACAGCGCTCCATGTGGATCTCCTGTTAGGAAAACAGGAATGACAACAGCCTGTTAGAGCACCCAGTGTTTTAGAGGCAAAGCTTTCCATTGCCCAACCCATTTCAGAGATCATCAACCAGAAGGAATTATGACCTCGGTGCATTGACCTCATATATGGTCCTGTACAGAGCAGGAAAATACCCTAAAGAAAAATAAGACAGCTTTTCTTAGAGTCTAAACTAAAAACATGAAGTGTAAGAGCCTGAGATGAGAGATGTGGGACTCCAGGCAGCTCTTCAAAATGCTGTTTATTGTGTAAGAGATGTTACAGCAGTCTCAGGGTAACAGACCCCCACCTATGGCTGCCAGCTACACGTTATAGGCAAGCCTGAAGCCGCTTTAATTCTGGTTACAATGCATTATATATTTTTCTTTGCTGAGCATCTTAATATGTAACAACCAATCAGCATCATACACAATACCTTTATTGTTACCTACAGCCTATCACAACTATCAGTTCCATATTACAGTCATTATTATCCAACTACATAAGTTAGCACGTTACAGTTTAAGCTTAAAGTTGTTTTTCTGTTTTCTTGCAGTGGAAAATTCTTAGACCTTTTTTCTACTTGCCACATCAGCATGTTTGTTTGCCTACGGTATCTTTCTTCTTTTCCTAAGACCTATTTCTGCTTGGTAAAAACATCTTTTTTGTTTGTGGTCAACATATCCTTTGGTCTAGTCATAAAACCTCCTTCCAGCTTGACTTAACCTTTGCTTTCTTAGTTTTCCAGTAACTACTGGCTCAGCAATTCTCACTTTAGACATCTATTGTTCTTCTATCAAAACTTGCTTCCGTCTCTAGTCTGTTCTCAGGTTCTACATTCAGAGAGCTATCTGTCAAGCACACATATCTGTGAAATTTTCTTGTCAAACTTTCATCTTTTCCAACATCAAAGGTGAGTTTTCCCAACAGACACATAGCACTCAGGACATCTGAGTAAGCTCTTCAACGAGATTCCATGGTGTTTGAGTCCCATCACTTTGCCTATGACATTCTCCTACCAATTGGTTGTCCAGGAGAACAGAACCCAAACTAAATTCTGGAGTTTCCCAAATTTTCCCAAAACAGCCTCTGCTGAATTTTCTGGTATTTCTATGTATCCACATGGCTCCTAAAAGAAATCAAAGAACTTCTTCAAGATTAGACTAAACCCTGCTCTTTTCTTAATTTCTCTGCAGCTGTACAACTACTGCCTGTTGTACATGCTAGGAAAAGATGAAAAAAGCAGAATAACAAAACAGGTTATTACCAACTTCCTTCCCCACCTCTAAATTTCCTTACCTATCAATAAATATAACATATAAGAAAAAATGCAGAAAAAAGACCATCAAATCTAGTGAAGTTAGGATTTGGTAAAATATACTTTGGAGATTGTAGGATAAAAGTAAAAAAGCCATTGTCTTATTGCAAAGTCTTTCCAATTTATAAACTCCAAGGATCTTGAAAGAGGACAGCAATGAAAGACAGCCAGTAAAAACCCTCCCTCAGAAGTAATAGCAATTATAATTTTAAAATGCAGGTATTTTCCTTTGTTCACCCCTTTGTTATTAGGTTAAGTCAGTTACCTTTAAATTATTTGAACATGTTCCACTCACTAGTGCTACAACGCCATCATCTGTTACCTGAGGGAAAAACCACAATGGATTAAAGCTCAATTTTTTCAAGCACAGCTATTTAGATGCAAAAATCATATTAATTTGATCACGCCCTGCAGTCAATGAATACACTTAACACTACAGTATTTTCTTCCTAGCTAAACTAATAGAGAAAATTATCCAAAGTGGGTTTTTTTCCATTCTATTAAATACTGTTTCATGTTCCTGCCACCTGATCCAGCCTGGTATTCTGCAAGGATACTTCCAACTGTGTAACTGCTATTTCTGCAGCTTCCTTGTCTCATTTAACAGTGGGTACACTAATATGGTCAGAGCATAGCACTTCAAATGTATAGGTTTAAAAAGCACTTCTGCTCTACCTAGATCAATTTGGGTTGGGGAAAAAAGTAATCACAGCAGAAAAGTTAAAAAAAAGGTGTAAACATATAGTTACTGAAGAAGCTTTTACCTCATTTAAAATACACACAGGGAAACAGCTATTTTCTATAAAGGAAGAGAGGCAAGGAAATAAAAAAGCAGTGAAATAAGTCTGGAGAAATAAGAGTTAAATGGCATTATAAATAAAAATTACCAAACAAAATATTAAGACTCTTTTGATACCCTACTTCTGGAAAAATCAAAAGAAGAATAGCATCTAAAATAAGAACCTCCTACATGATTTCCAGACTGACATTTCATTGTGAATGTTCAGTACTGGACTCACATTTAACATAATTACTCACCATCAGTGTCAATTGAACGCTACACTTACTGCAAAAAACCTTTCCCTCGCTTCATTATCTCCCTGTAATTATGAAATATGTTACAGGATTGCTTCTGCAGCTTGTCTCCCCCTTCTCATGCTAAACACTGCTGTTAAATCTTCTTCCCTGCCATTTCTGACATTTAAAATGTCATTCTTTCAGTGTTGACTCTGTAGTATAACTCTGACAAGCACAATCACTCCTAAAATATCATTTAATTATGGAGCGTTTACTCCTACTAGGGGCTTGTATTGTTTGACATCCTAGATTATTACCCACATCAGTTTGTCCTAACTGAAAGCAGGCAATAATCTGTCCAAGATTCTACTTTCTTTAAATGGAATATTTTGGATTACTTTACAACTTAAAGAAAATGATTACACTAAATAAATATACTAAAAAAAATCCCAAGGTAGATTCTAACAGAAGTTTATCTTTGGTTCACCATACATGCTCTAATACCAAATTTTTCCAGTCACAAATAAGCAAAATATACCTTTCCTTTTCCTTAAGAGGCAGAAATTAGAAATAAATTATGGTCCTAAATCTTGTCAAGAGTAAAGCTACAGGGTTTGAACTTTAAAGTGAAGTAGTGAAGCTACAAAGCCCCTTTGAACTTTATCAAGGCAATCCTGAAAAAAAACAACGAAAGTCAATCAGCCAATTGCCACTGTAGCTACCTGAGTAGATGAGAAGTCCACACTGTGAAGAAATTTGCAGTTTTCTCCTAGTGCCTGCAGAGATGCATCCGTGATGCCTGAGCAGCTGCCCAAGTTCACTATTTGCAGGAATTGGCAGTTGAGTGCAAGAGCCAGAACTCCTCTGTCAGTTATATCACAGCACCTTTTGAAAGAGGCTTCACGCAGGTAGGGAGAGGATAAGGCCAGTGCTATGACTCCTGCCAAAGAAACAACACTTGAAAGAGTTATTCATTCTCTAACTTAACCACCATGCTGAGTCCAAACAAGTTCTGAGGGAGGAACAAGTTTTGAGGGAGGAAAAATTAAGATAAAGTGGAAAATATGTTGAGCATAGCACAGTTTTAGCAGAAATCTAGCAGGAGAGTAACCTGATAGCTCTCTCCTACGATAATTGGTGCTCTAGGCCTGAAATTTACACCGCTGGAGAGACTTTTAATTAGTACTGGGGTAGCATTGGGGATTTCTTTTTTAAGCAATATTTACCCTAGATATAGTCTTTGCAATTTATTCCAATCTAATAAGAAAAATAAGCCAGAAATAAGATCCCGGTTATCTGTGCACAGATAACACACCTTCTGAAGTAATTCCAAATCTGTTCTCCTTGCAAGAATTTAAGTTGATTTTTTTCAGCTGCTTGCAGTGACAAAGCTGCAATAATGCCTTATCTGAAATATCACAGTCTCGGAGGTCCAGAGACTCCACAGCAGGGTGCAATACCTGTAATGAAAACCCACCATTTCAGTCAGACTCCGCTATGCCATCAAACATGTGCATTTTTATATCAAATACTTGTAATATTAGACATCACATAAAAACTTGCAATAGAGGGTGGGTTACCAGTCCTAGGAACTAAAAACTAAAGAAATTCTGGTCTATTTGTGCAACAGTTCATCTCCTACAGCATGAACTGTTTCTGTGGCATATGGAGCAGGAACACATGAATCCTGCCACTTAAACAATGGAAATACAATCTTGGTGGTTCACTTGCTACATGTGTACCCAGCACAATGCCCTCACACTTGCTAGCAAAACTTTGGGGGCAGAAATCTGCATTGCAAAACAAAAAATACTGACTTGGATCAAAACTTCAACCTGCATAACAGATAAGAGTGATATTTGGAAGGTATTTCCCCCCAAAGTATTGTTCTCACCCACACACTCTTTTGCTCATAAACAAGCACTCTCATTACCACACCATGAAGAGGTACCAAATTCTAATTAAATGGGATCTTTCACTCCCCCAAGACCCAGATTGGAATTTTTGTGAAATCTTTCCCAAGAGAACATTTATGAAAGCTAAACCCAAAGCAGTGGAAGGCATCAGATTTTAGTAACAATGCCAGATACTCCCTTCAGCTTGTCACTCCCATGCTTAACTCCCAGAGATAGAAACTAAATTTCCATAAACTAGCAAAGACAACACCACAGCTGACAGGACTGTTAAAGGCCTATTCCCCCTGTTGTTCACTCTAACAATGTACAATAAAGATATTAAAAGGAAAACTGGCTGTTTTGCAAATATATAAGATTTTGAGATAGACAAAGGGTTCTTGGATGCAGCACACAAAAAAATACATTTAAAAATACAGGTTTATATTCTGTGGACACTTGCTGAATGGCTTTATAAAACTTTATGGTAAAAGGGATTTAGATTAAAGAGTTTGGCCTACATGTGGATGGCTGCTACAAGCAAAAAGCAGAGCAAGGGGGGAAAAGATGCATGGTAACACAAATTTGGACAAGAATATGGAGGTAAGAGATTAAATAAAAGTATACACAAAAATTCAGATTAACAGAATTTCAACTGAAATTTAAGCAAAATTCAAGCGAATTACAAGCAATTCCAAGCAAAATTCTTTAAAAAACCCCCTGAAAAACAGAGGGAGGACATGAATAAAAATAAATGAGAAACTGTTAGCAAAGAAAGCTAAAGTATAATATGCTCAGGGAAAATGATGGCAACTAAGGATATAATTGCAGGAGATTGCAGGAACAGAGAAAGGAAAAACACATGAAAAAAGAACCAGAGCAGAATTTCCCAGGGTCACATGGAAAATAGGCTCCAAAAAAAGGCACTGATGAACTGCTGAATGAAGATAAATACAAAGGAGACTTTAGAAAGAGACAGCAGAAAAGTCTGTAATTTAAGGTCTCTAGTTTATTTCCAGACAAAAAATATCCTACTGGATTTTGTGCATTCATATACACACAATCACATGGCTTTAATTATATAATCTGTTATGATGTTTTGAAATTATTTCTTATTGAAAAGCTAGCCTAAACCAGATTTTGTCCAGTCAATTTTTCCAAAGAACTTGATTTTTACTCAAATGCTTACTTTGTGTATGCACAAAATCATTTTATCTAAAGCTAAATTGCTTTGTTTGTAAGTTTTCCACAGTGCTTCTGCCTCTAGTCTTGGCTCCACTATCATGACTCTGAGAAACTGAGAATATTTGTCTCTTGAGTTACAGGTCTAAGCAGGAATGCACAGGGAGTCATTTTCTGTTTCACCAAGGCCAACCTTTAGCTTCCTTCAATTCTCACGCCTCCCTTTGAGGCTGAACAAGATAACAGTAACAGACAGCAAAACAGATATGCCCCTGAATTTACAGCTGAAGAAATGTCATTAACTGGTGTCATATTGAAACACTGACACACAGATCAGTGTGCAAAAGGGATGGGATAATTTGAACTATCGATTCCTAGCTCTGCCATCATTATCTTCCAAGGAACCAAAATTTAAATAAATTATATGGAGATTGTGTGCTTAGTATCAATAGACTTCTACCAACAGAATTCTAACAAGCTGCTGAAATCCTTTTTATAATATATATACATAATAAATTATGCATGAGTATCTCAAAACACACTTCACTCAGGAACAGACTGGTGTGCAAGAGAGAATACTTTTCTCTCCCAAAACAGACAGTATAGTTTTGAATGGATTCTTACCTCACTGATATTTGCATCAGTTATTTGCCCTTGCCTACTCATTAATTTGATCAGTTTATCCTTTATATTGGGTGGCAATGACTTAATATCTGCAGAGTATCTGGAAAGGTTCTTTGTCAAGCACTGAAGGCATCTGAAATAAAGGAAAGTTAGAATACAGTCAAAAAGAGGCGTTACATGGCAGAACTACAACAATCAATCCATATGTTGTCATCTTCTGCACCCAGCTATGGTTCCCTCAGACCTTATCAGCTGCAGCTGTTCCATGTTACCACTGATTCAGCTGTTGCCCTTTGGGGTCAAGCTGATCCTTCTGTGAAACTGTTCCCCAAGCAGCTGAAGGCAGAAATCAGCCCCTCAACCATTTTTTCCTGTGTTTTCCTCAAGCTGTCTCTGAAATTTACAGTTGCAGTGTGAGCTGTTGTCTGATCTGAACGAAAATCCCCTTGACTAAAACTCTGAGGACACAGAAGCAACACTGCCAGAACAAGTGGCTGAGTGCAGGGGGCAGCAGCAGCCTGGAGCAATGCCAAATTAAATTTAGAATATAAGCACAGCTCTGGAGTCCCTACAGGTAACTGGTTTTGCAACAAAACTTTGTCTGGCATCAAAATGTCACCAAACTGCAGGAAATTGAACTCGCTCCAAATAAAAACTTTAAAGATGTCAAAATATTAATGCTTTATAATCTGAAGGGTAGCACAAACTTAAGGCAGGAAAGAAGCAAAATTTCCAGCATGGAAGCACATTTTAAAAAGCCACTCAAGTTCCTATAGTGTAGTGAGACATAAACTTTAAGGAATTTAGAGATTTTAGAGGAGCTAAGATTTTAGTTAGAGATAAGCTTCATTGGAGTTAATTAAAATAAATGGGTAGGCCTTGATGAAGTTAATAGTTAGTAGTTAACTAAAAACTGACTGCTTGTCAACACACTGTTTGGTTAGCTGGGTTTATAATGAAGAATATAGAAGCTGACAAATAGCTTTTAGTAACATAAGACAATCGTGGGCCTCCTCTGTTCTAAAACCAATTGAAGACAGGGAATGGGAGTTCTACCAAGGGTTCATTTGTCATATTTGAATTGAAAAGGTAGAAAGGTCAGAAAGACTTCATTTACTTCCTCACTTTGGGACCCCTCCCCAAGAAAGGGACCACTGACCCATTTCAAGGAACAAATTACACACGCTTAATAGCTTTTTGAACTAATTAGTATGCGAAGCGGAGAATGGGATGTACCGAAGTTATGTTATAAATGAGAAGCTTGACTAGGCTGATATTCAAGCAGCAATCAATTTATTAATTAATATGGTAAAGTATGAGCAATACAGCTCTGGGTACAGTGGGGGAAGTCTTCCCTCCAACTGCACACTGATAGTTGAGGCTGACAGGTATTTATAGGGGTACTCTTAAGCTTTCTCAGCAATTTCTATTCCAAATTTTTACGTCACAATTCTATACACTATTGTGATTTAGTTTTTCTCAGGATGTATCCCAGAAAGGAGTATGCCCAGATGGTGGGGGTCCGGCTTCCAAAAGAAGTCTCCCAGCTGGTGAGGTCCAGATTCCAGATGTGGGTTCACCTTTTAATTGCAAGGACTATAAATCTCATAACAGTGATGTCCAGCTTCCCTTGGTCGAAACTATCAGTCCTTGAGTTGATGTTCATCTTCCTTTCTCAAGCTGCTTTTCACTGTTTTGTTAAGGTGTTGAGATAAGCACATTTCCTTTTAATGTATTCTAAAGCTATAGTTTCAAAGATCCTTACTACAAGCAATATTCTAAAATTATACTTCAAAAGGTTATTATTGCAAAACTCTTTAAGGCTTAGCTACAAGCAGAAAGTTCCTGTCAAACAGCAACATCCTTAAAGCTTTAATTCAAATGCTCCTAAATCAACTTAAGACATAGAAAGGGTAATTGCAAAAAAGGATAGGTTCAAAGGCCTTCTTCCATGCTTTACTTCCTCAGTTATTTTTTGGAATTTGTCTTTATAACTGTCCCATGGTCAGTTTCCACACATATCACAATCACAAATACACACGTTGCCTGTATGTACCTGACACGAAACACAGCTTTGTATTCCACAGTTATGAGTATGTGTTTGTATTTTGGGTATTCAATACTTGTATCGATACAAAGGGTCTGTAATCACCTGTAAATTGCAGTGTGTATTTGGGAGCTATCACCCACACTGCCCTGAGTCACAATAAACACACACTTTCTAACTTTAAACTGTTAGAGAGTTTTTGTCCGTCACAGTTGGATATCAGTACTAGATCAATATCCATATTTTTTAATAAATCAGTAGGATGAGCAGCTCTAGCAGGTCACTGCAAAGGACACTGTATGGAGGAGACATTTCAAGCAGAACCTGGGCAGTTAAATCCAGGCCTTGCCTGCAGACACCCCTATATACCCAAACACACGCCAGGACCACCTTTAACTCATTCGTGCAGAGATGTGCAAGAATTCCATGCCTCAGTGACTGCTGGATGAACTCAGCTGACTGATCAACAGAGAAGCCTGTACCAAGCTCTGTCTCAGCACATATAGGTTACACCATCCACATTCTTTGTTTTGAGATTAAACACCTTATCTATATACAACACTCCTCTACTTGACTGCAGAAATTAAGAATAGTTGTTTACCTCTAAAAAAAAAAAATCTCATCAAAGATAATGAACACACCATTTATTAGCATCTCTGAAGATCACAGATGTGAACCTGCTCACAGGCAGGAGCTGTACAACATGGTGAGCAGAAAGCAGGGGCTTGTCTCACTAATCCAGCTCCAAAAGAGGCCTCTAAATCTAAACCAACTGCTTAGCTGAAATCGCAGAAAATACTCCAAACCCAACACAGATACATGGAAATCAGTGTGAGCTATGCCAACTCTTACCATGGCATATTAAATTTAGTTTGAATGGTTATTAAGATTAATCATGTTCTTTTCAAAAAGTTGGTTGATATTCTCGAAGTACAATACTGATTTGCAGTCTACATAATTAATCATTTAAATTATAAAGGTTTTCACAGTAATTCTACTTTATAGGAAACTATAAAACACTTATTGGCTACACCATGGCAACTATAATCTTATCTTCAGTGCTTTAAGGTAGGAATAACAATCTAACTGTACTCTTTGCTAGCTATTCTTCTTTTATCTTTCAAATGAAACATTTTATTCCTGTGCTGTTTCTAACTTCCTCTGGAACACAAAGGAATTTGACACTGACAGATAATGCAGAGAATAGCAATGTTCAGCTCCCCTTCGGAGTTGCAGGATAGAGCTTAAAGACTAAGTATCAAATTATATAAAATATCAAAAAAGTAGACACACAGTATGCTAAATGTAGTTGCAACCAGTGGTTAAACAGACAATGAGGAATACAGTGGTTTTTGTGCAGAAGTTATGTAACAATGTGCATGTCCTAAGAAAGGTTCAAGGCAAAGTCACCCTCTGCAACACTGGGGACACCTGGTGACCACCAGAGACCCCTTCAGACCCTCTGGGACCACAACAGGACTTCCAGTGAGACGTGGGCGCATGAAAATTAGTTAGGAAAGCGATGTTTATGTATTAGCTAGGAAGCATGCTTTAAAGAATATGTATGAGCACTATGGAATAAACATCTGGTAAAGTGTCACCAGTAGATTCTCTGGGGCCAGGTGAAGCCAGGGATCCTCAGCTGTCCCTCCACACCCGGATCTGTCAAGGATCACATCCTGGTACCTCCTGCCAAACCTCGTCACCCCTGTCCCTCCCTGTCACTTGCCCTGTAACTCCTCCCCAAGGGGCACCTCTGACAAACCCCGCCACCTCTCCCGCAGCTCCTGTGCGCTGCCGAGCCCTGCCCGCACCCACACTGGCCGCAGCCGCTCCGCCACCGCCGCCAAAGGCCTGCCGAGCCCTGGCCCCCTTCCTGAGCCCCTCGCAGGGCGGGCAGGCGGGAGCCTGTCAGGGCGGCACTCACAGGTCCAGAAGGAGCCGGACTTCCTCGCCGGCGCCGTCCCAGCTCATGGCAGGGAGCGGGGAATGCGCCGCGGCCCGAGGAACGTGGTGGGTAATGAGGGGACGCCGGCCCAGCCCGGCCCGGCGCTCGGTGCCGAGATGGCGGCGGCGCCCGGCGGCATGACGGGAGATGTAGTCCTGCTCCCGGCCGGCCTTGGGAGCGCCTTCCGAAGCGGCCTGGAGCGCTGTAACCCCCCGCAGCCGCAAAAACGGGGTTCTCACTCCCCATTCCCATAGCTTAATAGTTAGGAGAAAGTGTTCTCCCAAGCCTGGAAGAAGTAGAGGGGAGGCTGGGAGCCTTCAGGCAAGGGCCACTGTGGTTTTAAGGGCCCTTTCCTCCTTACTGCCCTCAGTGGAGGCATTCCACAGCAGTTTCCTATTACCACATCCCATCCACAGCGATAAGAGCCTGCTGTCGGCCAGCTCTTTTGTCCTGCAATTATTTTTGCCTTTGTTTTTGATTTTGGTTTTTTGGGGTTTTCTTGGTTCTTTTTGCCTTCCTTTTTGTATTTCCGCTTTGTCTTAAGTTGCAAATACAAGATGTGGCTGGTGTGTGTGTTCTATTTCCATCTGTTAGAGGTTGGGCAGTTGTCTTTTGTTAATTGGGCCACCTGTTAAAACCACCTAGGGCAGTTTTCTTTATCTCTTCCACAACCCACCCTCCCTCCAAAATATTTTCTGTAAATGTGTTGCCTGAACAGAGACACAAAACTCGTAAGCTTTGTGCGGTGCTTTATTGAGGGCCCGGGAGTCTGCGGACCGCAGTCCCAAATCAGAGCTCCAACGCCACCGATACATCGATCTCCTTATATATGATATGTGTACGTGCAGTCTGTTACAGATTCTCTAAGCAACGACTCCCAACAATTCCCCTTTCTTAGCAACTTGCTCCTTGTGATACTTGTGATACATTCCTTAAGCTACAAACAAGACTATAAATCAGGTACTTATCATTATTTCCAGAACATTGTATACAAATCAGCATTCTTGCTTCCTTCCCCTGATTAAACATTCGTTACGGTTGATTGAATTCTATGGTTACACTCTTACAACACATTCCAAAAGTTACAACACACTTCAAACAGTTATAAATTCCTATCTTACCTACACATTATATTTTACAAATTTTCTACATTTAATTAGTTTCCAACAAATGGGCATGACATAACTGCATGACATAACTGCGTGACTGATAAAATTACATCATCCCATTGTGAGATGCTGTGCCCAGGGGGAGGAGCCAAGCATTCCTAAGTGGATATGATTCTGAGATTTGGAACACCACAACAGCCTTTTCCCACTGGATACCCAGAGGAGCAGCTTTCTCCTCCACTGGATCCCCAGAGGAGCAGATTTCTTCTCCACTGGATCCCCAGAGGAGCAGCTTTCTCCTCCAGTGGATTCCCAGAGGAAGACCAGGCCCATGTGCACCACCACTAGACCTTCAGAGGAAAACTACACCCTTCTTCAGGATCTCTGCTTCAACAGATACTGGTGCATGATAACGCTGCAAGGCCTACAAAATATATTTTTAGGATTGGATAATTAGAAATATCCATTAGTAGGTAATTGGATGATTCAAGTTGCACCATTATGGTGAAAGCTATAAAACCCCCTAAAGAAAAATTGCTTGTATGTGACCAGCTTGATTGTGACACCTCATGCACATAATTGAATATTTATCCTTGCAATGCTAAACAGTCATCATGAGCTAGTTACTGAAACAAAGGTCAACAGGCCAAACAATTTTTGTCTATTAAAAACACATTTATTAAGCCAGCTGAGAGAAAGCATTAGAGCCCATACTCTATGCTCTGTTCCATATTGATTTCAGTGGGTTGTACAGCAATTTTACCACATTTCCCTCTTTCCTTTTTTGGTTAGTATTCAATAAGCAAGTGGTTAGGTATACATTCCATCAAGCTACTATATATTTAACCTATTGTTGATGCAAAACCAGCCAGTCTTCCTTATCTTTTACCTGTACATATTACATCCAGCTGCTTGTCTTCCTGTTTTGCCAGTTTTGGTTACTATATTTCTTTCCCATTGTTAGCTATTCTGTTATACTGAAATTAATGTCTTTATTTTGTTAAGTTATAGTCATGCCAATACTTTAATTCACATCTGTTAGTTACAATCTCCTGGTTCCATTGGAGGCCTCCCTGGAGATCCCTTTCCTTGGGGTCAGGAGACATGATAAAGCTGTAGCAAACTGTGTGGTACTGACATATTCTGTGTGCCTGAGTGACAAACCTAAACACACACAGGCCTGGCTGACAAGCAACCAGTTCTTTTCCTATTTTTCACAAGATTCAGTTCACCACTTTCTCCAGCAGTGAATCTGGATGTGGGTAGTGTTATGAATCAAGTTATATATGCCTAATTTAATAAGCAACAAAATTGCATTTAGCAGCAATTTTAATTGAACAGAAATTTTGTATAAATGAATATAATCAAGTATATTAAATATAATCAAGCATATACAAAAATTTGGCAGTGATTAATTAAATATGATTAAGGTTCATGTAAAGCATAAGCAAAACTGACCAGGATACAGGGAGGGCTTCTCATCCTGCTTCACGTACGAAACAAAAGGATCCAAACGAAGCTTTATATACTGCATGCTAATACATATCCATCAATAATTTTCCATAAATCCCCTCCTCTTTTTGATTCTTGAAATCTACATCACTATGCTGCATGGCACAGGCTCCGTTGTTGCTAGGGCATCTCCTGGCTTTTTGGTGGTCTTTTCAGAGGAAGGCGCACCTCTTGCTCACTGCCCTCCGAATAACCTGGCAGGTTGCACATGTTCATTAAGCTTTGTGTTATGTAAGTAAGCATTATGTTCCAAATAAGTCTCATTACTTTATAGATAGGACCACTGCTTTAGATTCTATATCTGGAATCATCCCAATTTTGCTCATCCCAATTCTGCTTTAGGAATCGTCCCAACCTTGTTCATCCCAAGGCTGATTTTGCTTTGGGATCTTGCTTATCTCAATACTACATCCTGTGTCCTGTTTCTCACATGTTACATCTGCAAAGGGCCCATCTGTTTACCCTTTATTACTTTATAACACATATTTTATAAAATATTGATATAGTTATGATTTAATTAGCATGAATCGTATCCATTTATCACAGTAGTAATATATTCCTCCACTTCTCAGCTGGAAGTAATTAAACAATTACTAGCCCAGTGACTATAACTGTCTAACCTCAGGAGCTGCTTCTGAAGCAGGTCATGAACTGCCAAACTTCACACACCTATGCTGTATCTCAAACTGGCATCAGATTATCCCAAGGAGCAGACACATGCTGCTCCTAAACTGGTTTGACTGCAGGCAGCTGTAGGAAGGACTTCAGCCACATGAGCCTGAACATGTGGAGAAACTGTACTCATAAAGCACCAGGCTATAAAGAGTGACTCAGGAAGTGCTCTAACATAGACTCTGCAAAGAGTGAGGCCTCAGCTTGTGCTGGTATGTGGGGTTGTTCCTCCCCAGCTGCAAAAAAGCACTTGCCTTGGCTGAGCTTCATTACATTCCTGTCTGCTGATTTCTCCAACCTGTCAGTCGTCCTTATTGAGAGGGACATCATGAGACTGACAGATAAAAAATCATCTGCACCTTGTGGGCTAAAACAATGCTTATTCTTCAAACACCACTGGCCTATGGAACTGCACAATTTCTATTCTGCAAGAAGAACTGGAAAGCAGCTAGCCCATGTGCCAACTTCCACCAGTTCACCAGACAGTCAGGTATCACTTTGGGGTCAACCACCAGGGTCCACATAAGAGACTCCCAGAACAGAACAATATGTGCATAAGGGGAGGGGAAAAGTTAATGATTTCAGGGAAATTATTATCATATGTATGTTTATTCTGGAAAATCAATGAATATGCATGTAAAATACAGTATTTAAACAGGAGCTTTTATTTATTCAGCATGCACAATATTTCAGAGGAGATATCCCCTTGTGCATCCAGCATTGAATAAAGAATACCAGCTTCATAATACTACATTGGTGTTAAGGGAGTTTTTAAATTATTATTTTTATCCATTTTTGGCGACAATGAGTAACATCAATCACTATTTCCAGTTCTGAATCTACAAACTTGGGAGCATGCACTTTGCATGTCACATTATCAAGGTCATTAAGGAAGATGTCGCCTGATATGACCTTAGTATTGATGCAAGGGACTGGTCTCCTGCTTATCTTTGTACTGCTGGTCCTTTGAACTCAGAAGCTGAAGCTGTTTCCAATCTACCTCACTATATAATTATCCAGTTCATACTGGGCTGGATAGAAACCTAATCAAGCTCAATGGAAACCTGATCTAGTTAACATGTGCCTGCTCATTGCATGGATGTTGCACTAGATGACCTTTTAACCCCAACTGTGTTATAAAGACTAAGGCAAATACAGCATTGAGAACCTAAATATTTCTGTGTCTGCTTTGTAGTGTGAAGTTCTGGTTCTGTTGAATCTCAAAAGGAAAAAAAGCACAAGATCCTTAAGAGAAAACGGTGTTTTTATGTTGAGGCAAACTCTCTGTAGTTGGAGACACAAGGCTTGACTCCATGTTTCTCAGAAGGCTGATTTATTATGTTATATATTATACTAAAATACTACATTAAAACTATACTAAAAGAACAGAGAGAAAAGAAGGATCAGAAGGCTACAAAGAACAAGAATAGAATAGAATGTATAACAAAATCCTGTGACTGCTCACAGCCTCGGCACCGGTGGCTGTGATTGGTCATCAATTGAAAACAATCCACATGGACCAATGGAAGATGCACCTATTGCATTCCACAGCAGCAGATAGTTATTGTTTACATTTCTTTCCTGAGGCTCCCAGCTCCTCAGGAGGGAAAAAATCCTAGGAAAGGATTTTAAATAAAATATCATAGCTACATTTTTAAAAGTTAGTCTTGCATGCCCCTGCAATGCTGGGAAACATGCAATGCAGCAGACTGGGACAGTCCTCTCTGGTGGAGCCACTGCTGTACAGTGTTCTGTGGCAAGATTCAATAACCCCATTGTTCCTCACATCTTTACAGTACTCTTCCAAGTAAAAC